TGGTCCCAAAGACACTGAGCTCAAACATTGGTAGGGACACAGGCCTTCAGTGTAACCCGCTATAGCACTCTGCCTCTCTGATGATGGCTGCTGATCTCTGTGGAACCTCATGTTTACAGGATAAGGTTGAAGTTCCCTAACACCCACACATGCCACAGTCATTCTGAACCTCCAGCCCTTCTTCAACATGTGCTAATTCTACCATAACCATTGCAATGGTTATAAAATGGAAACACAAGTAAAGTTATGCTAATCCATCAAGTTTGACACAAAGTTTGTTATTAATAAATGCCTTTGATGATTTTTAAATCCCTACCAGCTGTTTAGAAATAATTTAGGATACAAGGCATGTAATTCTATGACAGTTCCCAAAGCAAACTGAATGTTATTGATGGCTTATAAATTTCTCCCACTGTTATTTTTAGAAGCTAAAACTACCGAAGTAAATTTTTAACACATTTAAATCTAACATATTTTAATTCTGAGTCAGGAAACCTCAACTTTTTGTATTGAATCTGAGATTTACTAATTTGAACTCAAATTCTTTGTTGAATTGCATTTAAACTCTTATTTGGAGAGAAAATCAATAGACATTCCCAATATTGATCTCACATATATATCAAATCATCTAAATAGTTTTGTCTACTCTATATAATGGATCTGCACCTAGCATTATGCTTAATTTAATTTGAGAAATATAGATGAGTTAAACAACAACAAACCTTTAAGAATATATAAAATAGATTATCTATTTAAATTTTTAAAAAGCTTTTCTTTTTTTTATTTTTTAGAATAACACCCTTCCCAATAACACCCATTGAAGAACCCTGCCTTATGACAAAAGAACAGATAAACAAAACAAATCTATCAGAGCAAATGCTGTTTATGGGCTGTGTATGTAACATGTCACACCTATAGCCTACCACCTTTCTACCATGAGGCTAAGAGTTCCTAAAATCTAGAGCAATATAGAGCAAGGCCAAAATGAGGATTGGGTGGTCTTTGGGAGGTCATGATCTGAATTCAAGGGATATGTGATCAACCAATCAAAGGATGGAAAGATGAGTCACTTTTCCCTTTTCCAATGATAGGCAAACAGAGAACATGTTTGCAATACAATCATACCTACTCATCCCCAATAATGCCCTCACTGAGTTTTCTCCCTCTACTAACTGCCAAAATTGTATTAAAGTGAAAATGAAGGTTTTATCCAAATAAATCCAACAAGCATTTAGGTACAAATATTTTTAAGTTGGGAAAAAGGGAGAATCCTTCAAACTGGAGACTAGTGAGTTGGACTTCAATTGATCCCTAGTGAAATTCTGGAACTCATTATTAAAAGGAAAAATCAATTTGATTAAAAGAGATAATTAGGGAAACTACATTATGCCAAAAGGTAATACAGATGATGAAATGAACGATCAATACATAATATATCAATACATAACTTCCTTCCAAACATTACCCCTATTTTCTCTCCTCTAGAATCAATCAAAATAACCCTAATTCCTCTTCTATATGACAATCATGTCTATTCTTGAAGGATATCATGAAGAGCCCCACATCAACAATACTGTAGAATGATTGTGGAAGTGGGAATCGCAGAACTTGAGTTTGAACCCTGGCTCAGCTATTTCCCCCTGTGATCATGGGTTCATAACTTGACCTTAAGGGCTACACAAATATTGGCTGCCACCTAGCTAGGGAAAAAAAAAGCCATTTTGGGGAGGAATTAATTCTTCATCATTGGAGGTTGTCAAATGGTGTTGGTATGATTCACCAGCAATGAAAAGTGTGATTTACAATGCTAGACTTTAGAAATTTTCCTCAGTAAATTATACTTTTTGGGTTTTTTTTAATCACTAATAGCAGATTTATGTTAATTTAGCATTTTGTTGAGACCTTGCTGTGTTTCTTTTAAATTTTCTTTCTTTTCTTCTTTCTAGACTACTGGGACTAAAATCAAGAAGAACTGATTTAAAATCTGACTTCAGATAATTACTAGCTATGTGACCCTGAGTAAGTCATGTAACCTCTGTCTGTCTTAATTTTCTCAACTGTAAAATGGGGGTAATTATATCATCTACCTCCATAAGATGCTGTGAGAATAAAATGATTTAATATTGGGAAAGCGGTTAGCACAGTGCTATGTAATAGGCACTTCTAAAATGTTTATTCTCTTCCTTTCCCTACTCCCATTAGCCTGATAAAGTAAAAATTGTCTGAATTTTTTCCATTTGCTATGAAAAGTGTGGGCTATAATCATCAAATTTTAGTGTTTTAAGGATAACCATGATTTAATAAACAGAGAGATAGCTGACCTTGGGGTCAGAGATGTGGATTCAAGTCAAGCTTTCAATACAGAATCATTTCACAACTGTGGACAAGTCATTTAATTCTTCTCCAAAACTCTAAGACTATATATTGAAAAATGAATTTTTATGTTGTATACCTATGAATTTCCTGTATTGATAAAATCAAAGATCTAGACCAAATCAAAAATCAGCTTTAGAAAAAACTTTCACTTATATAACTCTATAAAGTTTGAAAAGAAATTCTAAAAGATTATCTCATTCAAGCCCTCTGTCCACCCTGTGAGGCAGGCATTATCCACATTTTACACATGAGGAAACTGAGGCCCAGGAAGGTTAATTGATTTTCCCAAGGTCACATAGCTAGTCAGTGTCAGAGATGATATCTGAATTGAGGCCTTAATGGTTTCAAGTCGAGTCCTGAAGTATGTTACATAGATCATCTAAACTAAGAGTATTGTTTTCCCCCAGGAAAGATATTTTCTAATCTCTACAAACTAAAATATACATATATTTTAAGCAAATTACTGAACTCTAGGAATTTTTTTCTTTTTAACTTTCATCTCTTTCTGCAAGTAAGCTGATGGCTTGCCTCCAGTTTTTTTTTTACCTAGTTCTGAGAACCAAAAGTAAAGGGAAAAGAATAAAATAATAACACATATTTGTACATTGTGTAGGTTTACGAGGCATTTTCTCTATAACTATCCAGTGAAATTCATTGGTGGCGTTAATTTTTAGAGAGTTTAATTTATAGAGTTTAAATGATTTACTGAGTGCAAGGATTTGAACTTAGATCTCTCCTTCATCAATCAATTCTTTCATCCATCCATCAATCAATAAAAATGTATTAAGTACCAATATGTTCCAGGCACTGTGCTAAGCACTGAGGATAAAAAAAAAAGGGACAAAAGACAGTTCCTGCCCTCAAGGAGTTTACAAGCTAATAGGGGAGATAACATGTCAACAAATATATACAAATCAAGCTATGTATGGGATAATTAAGAAATAAATAATAGAGGGAAGGCATTAGAATTAAAAGTGGTTGCAGAAGGTAGCATTTTATTTGGAACTTAAAGAAAGCCAGGGAGGTCAGTAGTCAGAGTTCAGGAGCAAGAATATTCTAGGCACGGGGACAGTCAGAGAAAATGCCCAGAGAAAAGAGTGTGTTATTCATGGAACATCAAGCAGACAAATTTCACAGGATTGAAGACTACATTTTGGGGAGTAAGATGTAATAAAACTGGAAAAGTAGAAGGCTGTTATCAAGAGCTTTGAATATCAAATAGAATATTTCCTACATCCAAGTCCAGAGAGACTGTATTATACCATATCTTTTAGGAGCCTTCTACTTCCTTGACACAGGTAAGAGTTGGGGGAGGGGTGGACACCAAAGGTGGATGAACAACCCTAAAAAGGGCTCAGCAAGCCCTCACACCAGAGGTGCTAGTCCTCCCTGAGCATCCCATACATGCCAACTTTCACCCATAGCTCCAAAAAGCTATAACATGCATAGTAACCACACACTGATAAAACTGCCTTAGCAGACAGGCCAAACCAGGAGGAGGGTAACTGACAGGCCTTAAACCTGTTTATGATTTAGAGGGATCTCTACCCCAAGCATGTGAAGACTTTCCCTGGTGGTATTGGTGGATGAGAACAATTTGTTTCAACAGCCACGAAGGTAGTTGTGGAGTGCTTAGAGCTTAGTCAGACATTGAAGACACCAAGGTCATCCACCACATCCCAGGTCATTGCCAGTCATACTGGCTTTTGTTTTACCCCTGGACTTTGATGACTGTGGAAGAGAGTGAGGCTGACAACTTTTTGTAAATCTGCCTCACTTAAGTCCAATTCATGCACAAGTTAAGGCATCACCCTGTAATGTCATTGGTTATCTTTGAAAATAAAGGCTCAACAACAAAAGTAGCAATAATTTCCTTGACATACTTGAGTCTCCCTTACCTGAACCCTGTCCAGCAGCATGTGTGCTTACTTGTTCTGTTGAGATATTTGGTTCCTTTTTTTAAAAAAAGGATTTCTGGGATTTTGCATCTCAATTTCTTTGATCTTTTGATGCCATAATGAGTTTCCTATACATTCATCAATGTGATCCCTGAAAGGATACTGAAGAAATGTGAAACCCATAGTGTGAACTAGTTTCTGACTTTCACCAACATTTTTTTGGGAGGGAGGGTTTGGTTTCATTGCTTGTGTTCTAGCTTCATCAAAAGACAATGGAGTTTGCAGTTTGGCTGGGAGCTTAACTGAGCTAATGAAATTTTAATCCCTTATAATAGCTCAAATGTTTATCTGCTTCATGATGGTTGAATCTCCATCCACCCCACCCCCATGGCTGGTCTATCTCATATTAATATACTATTTATTAAACTGATAAGGTTTCCATTTTTCCATTTGTTTTGTAGTAGTGAATCTTGAAAGCAAAAACAGTAAGAGTTGCATGGAGATTATAAACTAAACATTTAGATTTATACTAACCACATTTTTTTTTCTATCAGTATGTTGTTTACTGAAGATAGGGGTCTTTTGTGTGTAGCAATGGCAGTTCTGAAGATTCATTGAGGTACAGTAGACTTTTGAATATATTGTTAAATTTCTTTTTCCCTCCACTCTCCACCCCAACTGCAGTGTACACATGTTACTGTTTGCATGGGATTCTGGACCCAAGGATCAGCAGATGGAGGGCTGGGGAAAAGGTAAGACCCTTTCATTCTTGCATCCTCCACTTGTGTGCACATAAGGCTGCCTTTCATCAAAGCTGACCCTGAGGAACACCACACCATGCCCATTCTCAGCTTTGTGTACTGAGAGTTTGTCGACTGGCTGGAGGGTAGAGGAAGGATCTATGGGAATGCTCTCCATGTTCTCAGTCTCTAAGTCCAGCTCTTCTGTGTCTGGTGGTTTATTTTCTTCACTGTAAAAGAAGGAAACCCCCTCAAAGTCAGGGTCCAGTTCAGCTTTGATGCTGCCAATGGTCTCCAGAAAAGAAGGTCTTATTTTGGGATTGTACTGCCAGCACATACTCATCAATTCAAACAGCACATTGGGGCAGTTGTCTGGTTTCTCTAGAAGGCCACCCTCCATAACAAACTAGAGAACTTGTTCATTAGACATGCCCTGAAAGGGCTGCTCTGCTAATTGTGCAATCTCCCAGAAGACAACCCCAAAGGACCTTTTCATACTTCTCTTGAGTCTTGTATTTGAAATTCAAATTTTCTATTCAGCTCTGGTCTTTTCATCAAGAATGCTTGAAAGTGCTCTATTTTACTGAATGTCCATTTTTTTCCCCTGAAGGATTATACTCAGTTTTGCTGGGTAGGTGATTCTTGGCTGTAATCCTATCTCTTTTGCCCTCAGAGATATCATATTCTAAGCCCTCTGATCCCCTAATGTAGAAGCTGCTACATCCTGTGTTATCCTGATTGTGTTTCCACAATACTTGAATTGTCTCTTTCTGACTGCTTGCAATATTTTCTCCTTGACCTGGGAACCCTGGAATTTGACTACAATATTCCTAGGAGTTTTCCTTTGGAGATCTATTTCAGGAGGAGATCAGTGGATTTTTTCCATTTGTATTTTGCCCTCTGGATCTAGAATATCAAGGCAGATTTCCTTGATAATTTTTTGAAAGATGATGTCTAGTCTCTTTTTGATCATGGCTTTCAGATAGTCTAATAATTTTTAAACTATCTCTCCTAGATCTATTTTCCAGGTCAGTTGTTTTTCCAGTGATATATTTCACATTGTCATCTATTTATTCACACTTTCAGTTTTGTTTTCCAAAATCTTGATTTCTCATAAAGTCAATAGCTTCCAATTGCTCCATTCTAATTTTTAAGAAAGTATTTTCTTCAGTGAGCTTTTGGACTTCCTTTTCCATTTGACCAATTTTGCTGTTTAAGGCATTCTTCTCAATGATTTTTTGAACCTCTTTTGCCATTTGGGTTAGGCTATTTTTTAAGGTGTTATTTTCTTCAGGATTTTTTTGGGTCTCCTTTAGCAAGTTGTTGACAGGTTTTTAATGATTTTCTTGCATCACTCTAATTTCTCTTCCCAGTTTTTCCTCTATTTCTCTTATTTGCTTCTCAAAATCCTTTTTGAGCTCTTGCACGGCCTGGGAATGATTCATATTTTTCCTGGAGGCTTTGGATGTAGGAGCTTTGACTTTGTTATCTTCTGATTATATGTTTGCTTTTCCTTGTCACCAAGTAAGTTTCTATAGTCTGAGATTTTTTCCTCTGTTTGCTCATTTTCCTAGTCAATTACTTGACATTTTAACTTTTTGTTAAGGTAGGGCTCTGCTTCCAATGTGGAGGGTGTACTGTCCCAAGCTTCAGAGGTTTTGTGCAGCTATTTTCAGAGATACTTCTAGGGACCTGTAAGTTTTCAGTTCTTCCAAGATGGTATGATCTAAGGAGAGGTGTTTACTCCTCTCCTGGCCTATGTTCTGATCTGTGAGTGGCCACAAGCACTCTTTTCTGCTCTGGAACTATGAGGAGGGTTCCCTCTTCAATGCTGTCACAAGCTCGGCTATGCCAGTGGTCCTCCTCCTCCCAGGACTGCCACCTAGGACTGCAACCCAGATCCAAGTATGGGCAAAGCAACAGAATCCTGCCTCAGTGCCAATAAAGAAATACCTGTAATCTCCTGATGAGTTGTTTGATCCCCATCCAGATGGGGAGCCCTCTAGCTTCTTACTGCCTCTGGGCTGAGATGTCTGGAAGTAGCAGCTGCTGCCACCACTTCTGCTGCTACCACCCCAGGACTGTGCTGGGGCTAGGGCTGGACTGTACTCCTCTCTCATCCAGATACAACAGATCTTTCCTACTGACCGTCTAAGTTGTTTTTGGCATTTGTGGGTTGAGAAGTTGGGAAACCACCACAGTTGCCAGTAATTTAGTCCTTCAAGGCCTGCTCTGGGTTTTCAGAGGTTAGGTCTGTACTGGCATTTTTTGTGCTGGACTGCACTCCTCTTTCAGTCTAGTGCAATAAACCTTTGGACTGGGTATTCATTTCACTCTGTCTTTTTGTGGGTTCTGCTGCACTAGAATTTGTTTAGAGCCATTTTTACAGGTATTTGGAGAGGTTTGGAGGACAACTCAAGTCAGTCACTGCTTTTATTCCACCATCTTGGCTCTGCCCTCTTTACTAACCACATTAAAAAAATGATTTCTTATCATTATGTATTCTTAACATGTTTTTTTAGTAGCAATTTTTTTTCTGAGCTCTTTCATACCTTTTTCCTGTCCCCAAGCTATATACTGAGTCTTTTCTTTTTCTTCCCCTTCGAGAGTTGGTACATTATCTCCTTGAGGGATCAGCTCTTATGAATTCAGAAATCATTTTTTATGCAGATAACTCTCAGATTTCTATATTCAGCCCAATACTATGCTCACATAATAGTATGCTATCTCCTCAGATAATAATAAACTAAAATTATCATAATGTCCAACATTTCTATTGCATTTTATAGCTTAAAAAGCACTTAACATATCATATATGGTCACATCATCTGCCTATTGGACACCTCCACTTGTATGTCCCATCAGCATCTCAACATGTCTATAATTGTACTCATTATCTTCCCCTCTCACTTAAGAAAGAAAAACCTTATTCCTCACTTTAGAACTTCAGTAATTTTGTTGATGAAGCCATCATCCTTCCAATCATCCAGTTCACAACCTTGGAATCATCTTCATTTCTTCCTTCTCATTTATTGAACCATAGCCAATCAGTTGCCAAATTGATTCCATCAGACACAACATCCTGTGACTGTATTCCTTTCTCTTCAATCACATGACTTATTACTCCTGTTTAGGCCCTCATGACCTCATGTCTTCTATTTGACTCCCTGATTCCAGCATGTCCCCTCTTCAATCCATTGTTCTTCCTTCCAGAAGAGGGTCAAATATTATATTCCTAAGCCACAGGTCTATGTCATTCCCTTACTCAAAAGCCTTTGGGGGTTCTCTATTGCTTCTTGAATAAAGAGGAAGAATATAATAGTGCATGGAAGTACTAGACATGGAGGCAGGAAAAGCTGGCTTCTGATAATAAGGCTTATTATCTGCATGATAATATGACAGGTCATCTAATCTATCTTGCAGATCAATATAGTTTCCAGATAGTTTCCAGATCAATAAAAAGATGGTAGTATTAATTGTACTATTTGATTTACATGTTTGTTGTGAGGGTCAGATAAACAAAACAATGGATATATAGTACTTTGAAAGCCTCAACATAAATATTAATCATTGTACTTGTACTATTCAATGCAAACAGTCTGTTTTCCTTTGTCTTTTTCTTTTTTTAAATTTATTTTTGCTTTCTTTTTTGGGGGGTGAGGCAATCAGAATTAAGTGACTTGCCCGGGGTCACACAGCTAGTAAGTGTTAAGTGTCTGAGGCTGGATTTGAACTCAGATCCTCCTGACTCCAAGGCCAGAGCTCTATTCGCTGTGCTACCTAGCTGCCCCAAACAGTCTATTTTTCAAGCAATTTACAATTTTGCACCAGATCCACCTTTCTTGACTTATTTCACATTTTCTACCTGTCTCACATGATATTCTACACAAATTGGAATACTAGCTGTTCCCTAAACTAGGATCTACTTCTGTGAATCTGACAATATGCACCTCATACCTTGAAAGCACTTTCTTCACATCATAGCCTCTGGGAATCTTTATCTTCCCTCAAGGCACAGATCAACAGTCAGCCACTTAGTGAAACCTTTTCCTTTGTTACTACTTTCCCTTTTTTAAAATTATTTTCCATTTACTTATATATGGAAAATGCTGTATTTCTCTAGCAAAAAAAGTGAATTCCAAAAAGGAACAGTCCATTGATTTTATTGTCTTCATAGAACCCAGCATGGTATCTCACTTAGTCAGTAAATAAATTTTATAAAATGTAGGCATAATGGTAAACAATGGATAGAAGGACAGGCAAAAGACATGTCTCAAAGCCTAATGGGGGAAATAACATGCAACCAATTGTGTACAAACAAGCAATATGCAGGATAAATTGGAAATCATCAACAAAGGGAGGGAAACAGAAGGGAATTTGCCACTAATGACAAAGTTATGGGAATTCAGTACTTTTTCAAAGGTTTAGTTGTTCCCTTTCCCCTCCCTGCCTCCTCCACATCATCATATGAAGGGAAATAGCTCAGTGGATACATCTCATTCACTTTCCTCTGAAAAGATGCTTTCTCAAGAGTCCAATATAAAATCTTAGGTGATTACAAATCTAGTGCTTAGCAAACTATATTTTTATTAAATGGGGATTTTGGTTAAATAATGATTAATGATGACAACATTAAATCTCTTTATTTATACATAAAATCAGTCCTTAATTTAGGAACCAGTTGTATTCTGTGAGCTGGAAGTTGGGACTCATTTTCAAACAGAAAGAGTATTTTAAAGAATAATGAGATTGTCAGGTCAGGAAGAAAAAAAATATGCATTGACCAAATCATGTATAATAGAAAGAGTTGCAGTTTTGTCTATTAGTCATGCCCAACTCTTTGTGATCTCATTTGGGGTTTCTTTGGCAAAGATACTAAAGTAGTTTGCCATTTCCTTCTCCAGATCATTTTACAAATAAGGAAACTAAGGCAAATAGGATTAAGTGACTAGCACAGGGTCACATAGTTAGGAAATGTCTGAGACCAGTACTGAATCCACTATACCACCTAGCTGCCCTATAATATGGACTAAGGGGGTTGTGATGCAAATAAAATAGTATAGGATTTAAAGATGTCAGAGGGTCTGGATTCAAATCCTAACTCTACTCTTCCCTACTTGTATAATATTAGACAAGTTGTTCTTTTTCCAGTATTGATACCTTTTGTTTTTACATCACAGTAGTTTTCACATATTTTTCCCCACCACAAAGCCCAGTCTTCTATTGTAACAGCCCCACTAACTCCAGTCTTCCCTAGTAAGAAAGAAAGAAGTTAACAAAAACAAACACACTAAAGGATATATAAGTTCTGGGACTTCTCACTGACTGTTGCCCATATTTAGAATTCTTTCCCTCTTCAAGTTTGCCTACAGGTTTCCCTGGCTACCTTCAAGTGTTTGCTAAATTTCCATCTTGTGCAAGAAGCCTTTCCTCATCTTTATAAATCTTCATATTTTCTCTCTGAGATTGTCTCCAATTTATCCTGTATGTATCTAT